AATATTATTGTTGTTAAGGAATTTTAAATTAATGTATTTAGGCAAGAATTTAATTTTCTACATAAATGTATAGGATATATTGTATTTGTATGTCGTATTTCTACACTTATTTAACATATTTCTCTAAAACAATGCATTCCAATTATATTATTTGTTTCGTGTAACAGGTAAGTACTTCAAGGATGAAAATTGTTTTTTACATTTATCGATGTTTTTCTATTTTTAAACCATTTATTTTTATTTTATCATTTTAATGTAATTTAATTAATTTTTAATACAAATATATACTTGAATATATATATTACCCATATAAAAACTTTTTAGCTTTTAATATAAATTAGGAAATTAAAAATAGTATATTCTGAAATTCTGTTTTCATAACATTTGGTTTAATAGTATTTAAATATTTTTATCCGTATCAAATTTCTATCCTTCTATATAAATGTGATAATGTATTTATATATTCCCAGTGACTATACTGGATGGATACTGTGGTATCTTACACTCAGAACTCAAACAAATTACAACTAATTGGTCGGCTGGGGAGATAAATTGCGATTGAATTTATTTCCAGTGTAGGTCTTGTAGTTTATTTATTATGTATGTCTAAGTAAAGTATTTTGCTTTTGTATTAATTTCACTTTAGTTTAGATAGTTTAGAGAAGTGTTAAAAATACTAAAAGGTTAATCCATTGTTTTTCTTTAACTTGCACGATTACATAGCTTATTAAACAATTTTTAAAGGGCATTATTGTGTTTGAAAGGTAGTTTTGGTTATTTTTTAGAACATTAGTTGATAGATTTTAGGGCATTTAAATCAAGACCCTAAATATTACATGTTATTTATACGACTATAGCTTTTAGCAAGCTGGTCGGGATATTCTATTAGACCTATTTGGTCTCCGTCGGACAGTGGACCTTTATAATTTGTTTTATGTATGTACTACGTACTGACTACGGAATCACGTATCTTGCTTAATTTTTATGGAAACGTGTTGGTAACATCACGGTTTTTGTGACACGTGAAATGATAAAAAGCACATTCCGATACGAAATAATATATACGATAACGTTGGCGTGTTAACAGACCATGAATGTGTAAAATGTGTACATGAATCATACATTTGCGCGACGTTCCTGTTCGCCAAGCAAAATATTTGTTGACGTTTTCGCTAAAAGCTAGACACAATATTTATTATTACAAATAAATAATATTAAAATTAGTGTTTTTATATCTCGCAGGGTGGATATCAGCATCATAAACTGTGTTTCTCCAACTTTCGCAGCTTCGTATCACATTTTTAATTGTAATAGATAGGTGCACCTGTTATTAATATTATATTAGGTACTAGGTACTCAGTAAAAAATAAAATAATCGTATTTCTTTCTACCTCAATCCAATTCATCATTACCAGTATTACCAATGCATAACATTTATCTAACTTATCATATAAAATGTAATATATTTATACAATAATTTAAATAATAATTTAATTATAATTTTTACATAATTTTATCGGAATTTTCTGTGTTACAAAAGCATGTGTAATTTATTCATATGAATATCACATTAACACAAAATTCTATGGCCTACAGAAACATTAAATTTAAAAATAATATATTAGTTTATAGAGTGTAAGATTTACCTATATAGGTATTTATCTGTATGTATAAATTTATTTATGCAATCATGTCAATACTTACTATATCTATACATATATCTACCTACTTGAAATAATTTATCTCAAGCAAATGTAATTATTATTTTAATAGTATCGCAGAATGTTGAATCTGACGAGTGGTAGTTATTACATATATTCAAACATATTAAATACATTATTGCAGGAAGTTGTCAATTTATGAGTAATATTGCAATTTATTCTCTGTTAACAAATAATATTTCAAATTACAATGAAGCAGCAGTATAGTTATGTACATATAATGTGATGAGGAACTAATGTAGTAACTTATACTCTATAATACTACAGTAGGTATACGTTAATTAATATTTGACTCAAATTATGATGACTCAATTATCATAGAATGATTAACGTATGTAATCAATATAATATGTAAGACGACGACAGTCATATTGGTAAGTGAACGCTTAAATAAAGGAATGTATTGACTATCATAAAATGACACCAACAATGGTAAATAATATATATTAAATTAATTTTACATTTTACTGTATTTACTGAAAATAATATTTTTTGCTATTGTTAGTGTTTATTTGGGGGAATCAACATTTTCAAAATACTTTATTAGTTAATATATAGTCATATTAATATTATAAAAAACTGAACTACAAACTTGAAAAGCTCATTATATGTATAGTATATATTTTGAGTAATTTTAATACCTGTTAAATTTTGATGGCTGTTATTACTAAATTCTTCAATAATATAGTATTTTTTACTGAATTTTTTTTATCACTATTCACTATCATATATAATTATTAATTTTTATCTATAATTCTATGTTGTATAAGTGCGTTAATTTTATCTACGTATAAATTATATGTAGGCACTAAATCATGCATTTATAATGGTTTTATAACTTTGGAACTATATTTTATAATTTTTCATTATTAAAATATATTTGCTTTATAAGGGTCGAAATTAAACAAATAAGTTTATTGTTTTGTTTTTTATTCAATTTATATTCATCGGTGATGTCTAGTCTGTTAAAGTAAAAACAAATGCTTACGTAAAAATAAATTATATTTGAAAAATATGTTAAAAGGCCACCAACGTTTATTAAAAAACTTTTGTGAAAATGTATAATATCATATAATATAATACATACATAATTTATTAGTATAAAATCATTTTTTTTTTTTTTTATTCAAAACAAAGCTACGTATTGATTTAACAGTAATTAAAAAATTATTTAATATATTTTTCTGTTTACACTTTTAAATCAAATATTGTTCAAAATGTTTTATATTCCACGAATACAGGAAAATCGAATCTATACACCATTTAAAGTATTAACTTTTATTAGAATTTATTCAAGTATTAGGAAAAATTATCAAAAAATTAGTCTAAATAGTTTGTTTAGTGTATCTATATACCTACTTTCTAATTATAAAGAGTTATTTAGGAGCTCACACAAGAAAGCAGTTCTCGTTGACCTCCAAAAATTTGTTTGACATAATTTACTGATCAAAGTTCAAAAATGTATGTATATATACATCTTTAAAAATTTCTAAAAATTCTATAAATCATAGTATATTAGTACATTTATTATTTTGAATAATTGTTGCATACTTTTAAAAAAAATGTCTATGTTTTGTTTTTTATTCTTCTATTGCGTTTTATGTATTAATGATTTTTTTTTATTATATTACATTTTAAAGGTTTTTTTATACTTACCTATTTTAGTTAAAATTATTAATTTTAATAAATATATATTTATCGTTTTGAACATTCGAAAATACAATTTTTAAAAATTTATTAAATTGCGGACGTGTTTTATAAAATTTACCATTAAAATGTGCGTGAAAAGATTAATAATTATTTGTTATTATGGATTAAGTAGCATTAAAGTCGGACCCTATTGTTAGAGAAAACATAAGATTTACTCGGGTTTGACAACTTCACACAGCTCTGTTGACGCAATAGTTGTAATACCTACTTATGTAATGTTGTTATTGACACAATATTTATATTTAACTTTACGACCAATAAATACACATTTTACACGTCTACACACGTTATAGATTAAATTGATTTATATTTATTTATAATATTTATAAATTATAATCTATTAAGTATTTTCATCGATATCGGAACGGCACGACTACGACTTGTGCAGATCAACCGGAAGCTATCGGATAATAAATTTGTAGAATCATCGATTGAATTTTCAGTATGTACAACATTTATTTTTAACACATTTTAATTTAAAGCTATATTTTACAATCATAAAAATTATTTGGTATTTTAAGGTACTTAAGTACTTTATATTTATAAAGGTTAGGGGACTAAGTCCTCTATTTAAAACTTTTGGTGAGGTTGTCTCCTTAGTGCTTTTGTCCCTTCCATTTTCTGTCCATGGCTTCAGTTAGGTTATAGATTTTAGTTGCTCAAGTTATCTTATAAGTTGTGGATGGTATGAGAAGAATTTTTTTTTTAAGGGGGAGAGGGATACATATTGTTATGTTCTATGGGCAGATAGAACCTGTAATCTGTTGTAGGTTTTTTAATATAAATAATTTACAGTGAATTCTGTGGTGGCGAGGCGCAATTATAGGAAAGTTGGGAATGTCAATCATTGGGCCCTCGATGTTTACCAACTAATAAAAGTTTATTTTTATCGTTAATCATAAATCTTCAATTATTAATAGATAATAATTATTAAATAGCAAGAAAATCTAAATTGTTTATACTTTTTAAAACAATCATAACTCATTTTCAAATAAAAATATAAAAAAAGCTTATGAATTTCACTCGGTAATATTCTTATTTCTTAACTTTAAATTTGACAATAAGTCGATTCATTGTTTTAATGAGCACGATGCTACTGTGCTATAGCGAAATGGATTTTACCGTCAGTGTAGTTGTAGCACAGAATAACCAGAAAAGACATTTTTTGAGTTTAACACGGGTTCTTATGGAGTAGGTACAGATTTGCAATACCTGTTGAACAAAATAATTTTACATTTTTGATAAATTAAAGGATACACTGATGTTCCAACAAATTGAACAGTTTTGAGTGCTCAAAAAAGTGTTCTTTTTGGTTATTTTGTTATTGTAGCGTCTCATTTTATTATTTTTTCGTGATCATACTGGTTTACTCGACACTCGTTATCATGATAATACAAGGTCGTTATCAGATACAAGTAAGATCACGTGTGATGTACAAGACAAACAACATTTATTTTAAATTCTTATGTTATTGTAAATTGCAACTAAGATAATTGTGAATGTCAAAATAATTTTTAGTGAATTATTCATATTTTTAATCTAATATTGTTATTAATAAAGTTTAAAACAGTACAACAATTTTACATTTCTACAAATAATCATGGTAAATTAAATTTTACATAGAATTTTGATACAATATATCATCACAATAATGCTGTACTTTGCAATTCATGTTATTAGTATTGACTATTATTATAAGTGTAGTTAATTAAACCTTGATTATTGTATTTTTTAGGGTAAACCAAAAACCACTGTATTAAATGCCAACCACCCAAACAGTAGAAAAACAAAGCAATTGATTAAAACTAAACACAAGTAAGATATAACATTTTAAATTCATAGTTAATCGAATTATATATTAGAATAATGCTTATAATTTATAAATAATAATTTCATCTATTGTAATGTTCTATTATATTATATGTGATAACATAATTCATTGATAATAGTATTACATAAAATTTAAAACTTATAAAGACGTGTTTTTATCCATTATCTAGTATTATTTAAAGAATAACTTTATTAATAGGTTATTGAGAAAAAATTTTTTTAAATATATATTTAATTTTAAAATGTTTATTGTGGTTTTAGGATAGCGTTTCGGGATAAAAAGAAGTTTATTAACTTAGCAAAACCAAGCATATTATGTGAAAAATTAATTTGGTTCAGAGATAATGTTGATAACACAATTGAGCAATACACTCAGGATACTCTCTCATTATTAATTGAGAAGTATGTATTTATTATTAATACTATTTTGCATTTTATTTTTTGCAATGCAATTAGTCTTAAAGTATTTAAGGTACATATATTTTGAAATGGCTTAATTATGTTAGCGGTTAATATACAGTTAAAAATGAATAATTCTTATAAATTATTTATCACCATACTTAACTATGTTTAATATTTAACCAATAATATTACCTTATTTTAAATCAGAATAATGTTTACCTAAAAATAAAATAATATATGAATATTAGTTTATACACATGCTGTGTTTTGATTTGTTTAACAGTTTCATAAAACATAAAGAATAACCACAAAAAAATGGTCAAATTAATTCAATTTAAAAAAAAATTTAATATTTATTATTAAAATTTAAAAAAAAACAATGGTCTTATAAATAGGAAATTATTGATGTACTTAAAGTTTAAAATAAATATGTTAATATTTTACCTACTAGTGTTAGAATAGACCACTTTATTCAATTTGATATGGCGAAGTAAAAAATCTGCTCTAATAGCTAACATTTTACTTTTCCATTATTTTTGGGTTTCTGTCCTATTGTATTTACCTATTTTGATTTTTATTTAAATAATTATTGATAATAATATATTACTTTAATTTATAATCAAGAAAAATATTACAGGATAGTAATTAATATTAATCACAAATTTATAATATTAAAAATTATTCAATAATGGTTATTAAATTTAAAAATTTGTTTAATATATTCTTAAAATTTATGAATATGGTATATACTTAAAGTAATAGCATTAATGTAAATATAAATAATGCTCTGAAAATCTATTTCCAATGTATATTGACAAAAATGAATGATTGATTTTTGGATAATAATTATACAATTATAAAAAAAATATTGTTACTAGTAATCATTGTTTATTATTCCTCCCTTTTTAAAATAAATATAAAATAAAATTTGAATTTTTAATTTATACACAGAAAAATTAATATATTTTATTATTAATGAGTACTTCAATATTAAATAATTTAATTCTTTTTATAGATATCTTAGTCGTTTTGACCACGAAGTCAGTATAATTAAAGCAAGACATAAAGATAAGGGCAATCGACGATTTGCTAGTCGAGAAGATGTTATTAGACACACAATAGAACGAGAGAGAGAAGAATATAATACAGCTGGCATTGGTGAGTATATAAAATACTAGAATCTTTTTTTCTGGAATAGAATGTGTATTTATGCTTGAAATTAGTAAATAAATGAATTATAAATATTGAAAAATAATATATTGGTGGCAAAAACTGTATTATATTTTTAATGTGATCATTAGTATAATAACGGAACAAAATAAAAAAGTAAATATTTCTATGGGATTCTACTAATGAGAATCTAAATTTGCAAATTTATGCTTTATTTAAGTGAACAAGAATATTATGATTTTATTATCAATATCAAGTTTATGTTATAAATAAATGTTTTCTTGTACTACTAGAAATATCTGCTATCTGATGGGGCTGTAATTTTTTTTTATATCATAGGTAACTTTACCTTTTATGTATAGTTAATAAAATGTGTATGAAAATGTATAATGGCATAAAAATAACTCTTTAAAATCACCAATATTTTCAGAACTTTTATCTATTTATTATATACAACATTTTTGATGTGTGACATTCATTTTGGATTGATTTAATGGTTGTATATTTAACAAATAAAATTATAATTATTTTTAGAATATATATTTTTAAGTTCATGAGTCAGTTATATTTTTAATAACTTGTATGTGTTTCAGTTAATTTTATTGACTAATCAAATTTTTTTCTGAGATTGTATTTGTTTCTCTTTTTAAAAATATTTAGTAATTAAATAGTTATAATTTCACCTGAAGATTAATAATTAGGTTGAACATATAATCATATTTTAATGTCTAAGTCTTCATTTAATCTTCAAAATTCCTTGAAAAATGTAATTAATTATTTTAGTATTTATGTAATTAATGTATTTTTATAAAATATATATAAATACATAATATATTATATTATTGCCCAGGATAAGCATTTGATTCTTAATAAATAGTTGGCTCTATCAACCTTAATATTAATGTATAAATTATTTAGTTCAAGTATAATCCTTATGGTAATATAAATAACCAGGTATTTATCTTAAACAATAATTTTCTTAGGTATATCAATAATTATTAAAATAATTATTTTATTGTGAATTTTAATTTTAAGATATTAACTTTTTCAATAATTTGATGGATATAATGAATATTTAAAATATTTTTTTAAATGTTTTAGTTTTGAAAAAATTGTCTAGCTACTAAACTAGTATATTATCAAATATTTGTATAATCATAATTTTAATAATAATAATAGTAATAATAATATTTTAATTTATCTAATTATTTAATTTGTTTAAATTGTTTCTTAGAAGTGCCAAATATACTTGAAGCCAGTCAGTTACTGTATTTGCGCACCTGGGATGGCGACATAAAGTATTTACCAAATATCAAAATAATTCGTTTTCGTTGTTTAAATAAAACTTAACTAAATCATTGTTAAAAATATTAAATTATAAACGTAACTACCATATATTTTTATATATTACTATTGTTGTTCATTGTTATTATTCCTAAAATATTTTTCCTTTTTGGTAAAATTTAGGTGACATTATGTAATGATCACTTGAGCTTAGTATTTGTTTATTTCTTTGATTTGAATTAAATATAGTTAAGTGCTATGGACATTTTTATTTCTGATGTCACCGATCAAAATCAGTTGCCACATGGGTTGTTTCTTACATTAAATACAGTATAGTTTCATCTGTTTTTATTTTGTTTTATTTTCTACTTTGAAATGACATATTTTGTATCAATGAACTACTAACAAAAGTTAATTGTTTTTTTATAGTGTTAAAAATATATATAATCAATATAGGCACCTAACTATTTAACAAGTATGACAAATAAATACCTAATATTTTAAAATATAAGAACTAAAAGAAGAATGTAGAAACTTTTTCACCCTATTTTTTTAAAAAATTTTGTGGGTTTGATGGGGTGGAGTAATTTTCTTTGATTACTTTTTTAATATTTTTTAAACAAATATTTGAATAATTTTTATTGTTTTAATTTGTATACCCTAAAAATGAATACTGAATATTGAACTAGTTTTGGTACTATAGCTTATAAGCAGTGTTCGAATTGGGAAAAATTAATTAGAAGAGCTTAATACAATGGTTTAAAAAGTAAAAACTGCATTCTAAATGCAAAATGATTAAACACAGACCAGTTTTGCCTACACTTCTTGATCATCTCTACATTTATATTTTGTATACACCTAATTAATGTTAATAATTATATGAATTTATTTTCACCTATATATTACAATTAATTGTCATTTAATACAATAATTTTATATAAATAATTAAAACTTCTCAGTAAAAAAAAAATTAAAAATTATAAAATGTATTACATTTTTCAAAAAATTATAATTACAGTATTATTGACAACAATTTAAATCCATATTTGATGAAAAATTAATATGATTAATATACATTAGATCATGCTGTCTACTATTCCATTAAAAAATAATAGTTTGAACATGCCATTAAAAAAACTCCGTCCCTCTGCACACCACTTCAATTCGATTTCGAGCTTTGCTTATAAGGGTGGTTGTACTATTTGAGACTATATTTAAAAACATTGAAATAAAGTAAATCGTAATTTCTTGTATAAACTTTAGTAGTTGAAACAAAAGCATTATTAAAGAATAAAAAAAATGTTTCCTACTTTCTTTTCATTGTAAGAAACTATTTTATTATTTTAATTAAATAAGAATAAAAGCTGTTATTTACTAAAAGGAAGATGACAGAGACAAAAGAAAAGTTTTCTTAAAAAACACATATTGTTGAGTCAAAACATATCTGGATTAAGTCCTTATAAATAATCGTCTTTACGAATATTGTTTGTATATTATTTGAGTTCCTTGTGTCATACATATTATTTCCTTAGTATTTTTTATTTTTTTTTATTAAATTTCGATTTGATATTTTTGAAATCGATTAAAATTTAAAGGTTGTTCAATAAATCAAAATTTATTTGAAATAATCATATTTTTTTTTGTAGTGTTAAAAAAATATTTAATTTTTCTCTTTAAAAAAAAAAAAAATATAAAGTTGCTTAATGTCTATTTTTCACATTACTAGTAACCGTGAACCCACAATTAAAAATAATTCAAGTGTAATTGTTTTGAACTCGTGAATTTTTTAGGAGATGAGCATCGAATGTAAATCAACTTCTCACTCGTAAAAAAAAATGTTAACAAACAAGAACCTATTGCTATGGTTGTAATTAAAAAAAAAAAAAAAAATAATAATGCGAAATATACATCACACATCACGTATGGACTATAATATAAAACTTAATAGTATATGTTTAATACTATGTTTGCTATTAAATCATTTTGACCGGAAGTTGGGTAAATACATTTAACTCATCGGGCTCCCAACGCATAATAAGTGATGCGCTGTAAAGTTTTGTATACATTTGTACACGTATAATACATATCTATTGGTATTATATTATTATGTCATTCAAAAAATATATAAATTTTTTGCCCAACAGGATCCAAAGCAATATCCCCCGATTCCGGATGCGTAAATCTATTTTCGTTTCGTTCCCTGTATCCGATTTTTGTTCGATCGCGATTGCAGATTAAAATTTTGTCGCAGAAACAATAATAATAGTAATCACTATAATCATTTTGTATATACATATAAGCGCTTACCTATATTTTTTAAAATATTGTGTCGCACAGTCTGTGCCCCGCGAGTCGTACACCCGTGGAGTAAATCGTTTTTGTTTTAGTCCGTTGCGCTCGTGTCGGATTACAAAAATATATATACACACGCCATTATTATTATTATAGAATTCGGTAAACGTACGCGATTTCCCTTCTCGTTTTTCTCCCCCTCGCATCCCGGTTGAAATCCCTCCGACCCCTTTTCGTTCACCTACGCCGGCTCTCTTTCCAACTCTATCCTCCTCCCAACAAACCTACACTAGTCGACACGTACCATTCGGGAGCGTGTACGTGACACAAAATTTAACTACCCATCTATCCCAATGCATTTACCCGTCTACCCACGACAACGACGACGACGACGACGACGACGACGATGATGATGATGACGGCATATATATATTGTGCACACACACTCGAAATCAACCGATTTTTACGGCGTGCGGCAGCGGCGGGATCGTCGTGTTGGAGACGCCTGCAGGATATATATAATATATATATGTGTGTGTGTGTGTGTATAAATAAATACCTATATGTAGATTTTTATAACAAACCTCCTTAGCAAGAATTTGGCCAAGACATGGCGGTGGCACGGAGTGTCTTGCACCATTGCTGCGGTATCCACGCCGCACACTTTTCACCGCCGTATGCAGTTTGTGATGTAGGTACACCTAAACATGCCCTACTTACTGAGCGTGTTTGTATAACTGTATGTGCAGGGTTTAGACGTCGCGTTTGCTATACACGTCAACGAGTCTCGACTATTCTGATCGTCACCGACTCACTGGCCGAACGTATCCGATCACTTACCTATGTGTAAATAGGTATATGGGTATTAGGTACCTATAGGTATATACAAGCCGTATATGTATGTATATAGTATATTTAATTATACAAACCAGCTGAATTACCTGGGTTTCGCCCGTCTACCGTTATGAAAGAAATTGTTGTACCATATCTATTTAATCTAACTAATTTTTTAATTAAAATTTAAGTTCATTTTTTTAAACATTTATTTGTGTTTTTTGTTCTATTCTTTTAAATATTTATTTTATAGTTTATTTTCCTCCGCCCGTGAAGTTAGTATTTGGAAAATAATAATACATTTTTTTTTTAGAAAATTTTTTCACAAAAGCTATGATAATACTTCTGGGTATACTATGTTTGCTTGGTGGTTTTCTTATTGGTGAGTACCTATTATAACTGAAAAGACTGTGCATTTTTTTTTACCAACCCTTGATAAGGCGACATATCCATGAACCAAACAATTATTGTGTAAATGTATGCCAAAGCATTTAAAAGATTGCTCTTGTATTTTATTGATTGTCATCGCAAATTCGCAAAACAAAATTTTACCGGGTACCGTATACGTTTGAATTGAATGGCAGATCTGTTGGAATCATGAGAATTCTCGGGATAAATGCACGTTACCGACATCAGTGCCTGTAAACATTTTAGTTTCTATTATATTATTTTTAAAGCCCATTTTTTTGTAATCTCGTTAACGATAAATTTCTCGGAACAATTGATACCTACGAGTATACGCATATATCAAACACATAATTTGACGGACAAAAAGACAAGGACAGCTTGTAGGTAGCTAGAAACCCGCCGGATGTCGCGTCGCTTATAGGTATACAATTTACACGTTTATTTTAATTATTAATGAATAATTATTTACTAACTTTGTCAGACTAAATTTATGCCTATGACATTCGCGTGATCACAAGGGACACATAAAAAAAAAATCCTATCAATGTTGAACCGATAGTTACCGAGTTTAGGTACTTAACACAAAAAATGCACTTACAGCTTTATATACATTTATATATTACTAATACAGTAAAACCTGTCCTGTGTGGAATTACACGGGATCAATAAAAATTTCCGTTTTAAGCAGGTTCCCATGTAACTGAATAAAAAGGAAAATTCCGTACTATAGAGTTACAATATTATGCACGATTAAGATTTAAGGCTATAACATTTTCCAACCAATAATACAAATTAAAATGCTGAAAATTAATAAATATCATAGGCTACAATAAATTTTAATTTTTAGTAAATAATTACGTGATATTTATAAATTAGATATTTCGAAATAATGATAAATTTCAATTCCAAAATTTGAAGAACATAATATTTAGTAGGTATTAATTAAATAATAATATAATAAAATAAAGTAAGCAGATTAAAATTCGTGTAAAGTTTTTGTCCAGTTTTTTCTTTAACAATTAACAAATTTCTTCTATAACTTTTATTTTTTCATTTAAACTTCATCAAATCTTTGAAGACATTGCGAGAACAAGTATAAGACGATACGAAAGACAGGAAAACTACGACTATACGTACGGTGTGACAATAATGAGCACTGATGATATAGATTCAAGATAAAATGTAGTTATCTATGCACACGTATTCATATTGCTGACCTCAAGAATTGTTTAATAACAAAATAAAAGTGGGTATCAAGTATACTTTTGTTTATTCTATGATATTATGTTTTACCGTTTGTTAAAGGTATATATGATTTACTGGATCAAAAAAAGCTTTCCGTTTTTCATTAGACAGGTTCCGTTTTATCAAGGGTTTAATCCTGTGTTAAATCATAGAAATCTGCTGGGTCCATAATACATTTCCGCACAGAACAGGATTCCGCCCTAACAAGGGTTCGTACAAGACAGGTTTTACTGTACATTATAATAAAAATAATAATATAAAATAATAATAATATAACATTAGTAGATAGATGAATACACCGGCTATACACACACACACA